TAAGTCGAATTAATGTTGTTTCTCAAAGGCTAAATCAAAAAAATTAAGACAGCCTAATATAAAATTAGTTTTTCGTCAACGACATCATATGCTGCTCTCTTGCCTTCGTCAATATCGCTACGACGATGGCAAGAGGCCGGATGGGATGTCTTTGATCCCTTGAAGGATGGGGCGAGCTACGGTATGGGATGCTACTTGTGAGGACGCGCTAGCCCTGTCTCACCTCCCTCGCACAAGGACAAAAGCTGGCGCGGCCGCAGAACAGGCGGGAAATTATAACCGACAAAAATATAAGCGTCTTTCCTTTGATTTTGTTCCGTTGGGAGTAGCACCTCATGGACCGTAGGGTTCAAGTGCATAGGCGATGATTGAAGATTTAAGTTGGTGCCGGGTAGATTGTACCGGTGACCCCAGATCTGGAGCTTTCCTAGCTAAACGAATAAGTAACGCAATACAGCGGGGAAATACTGCCACAGGGACCAACTTTTAGTTTTCTATTCATACATTTTTAATAATTATCTTTGATACTAGTAGGTTAAGAATATTGTAAATACTCTTAATTTGTGTGTTAACGAATTTTAACTTTAAATATAAATATATTTATACTTAAAATATTTATACAATAAATATTTAAAATAAGCATTTAATAGCTACTGATGGCTTATTTATGTAAGTAAATCGTTAACCATTGATTAGATATTCATTTAAAAATCTATTTTTTAATTTAAATCTAAACTTTATATTTAAATATATATATACATAACTCTCGCTTAGATTTGCCGTGTGCACGTCAACGTCTAAAGAGAAAATTAATAATATGATTTTCGGTGTTTTATTTTCTCAAATATTAGCCCGAGTCTCACACAATCAAGATATACTCAAACCCTAATATATTCGAGTATCGGTGTAAGCCAGTTGGAAAAGGGTCGTTTTTCTCCGCTGATATTAGATATTATCTAACCGATTTATTTTATATTTATTGTTTGGTTTATCCGTATAGGTTGCTTTCAGAGCACGAGCAGAAATAATAAGTCCCAATCTTACCAAATGGGCCTGGAGCCGGGTTATTTTATATTTTATTATTTTTTTTCACACCTGACATTTAAAATACACGTAGGTCCGTTAACTAATTGAATCTCAAGTGCATACTTGAAAGTCTATTGATTATTAAAATTGTAGAAAAACTAGCTGACCCGGCAAACGTATGTTTAGCCATGTATATTATTTCTGGTAAAATTTTTTTAGTTCAATAAAAATAACAATCAATAATAAAAAATAGGGGTTGATCTTAGAGGAGTGTAAATTAAGGGTTGTATGTATTTTTGTATGATGTATCATAAAAAATTAAACAAAATAATAAAAAAATAAAAAAACGGGTGGACTAAAAAATTAATTAAAGAAAGGGGTTATCACTTAGGGGTTTGAAAGATAGATAGTAGCCGATTCTCAGACTTACTGAATATGCATAAAACATTTCATAAGAATCGGTTGAGCCGTTTCGGAGGAGTATGGGAACGAACATTGAGACACGAGAATTTTATATATATATAGAGATAATAATAACAAAATCTTCTTGAACTGAACTGAAATGTTATTTGACATTCGAAAATAGGAACGTGTATATACGCACCATATAAAATTGTTATTCATCGCCATTTTTAAACATTCTTTTCATAGCTAATTCATTTAATACAATTCACATCGTCTACGTAAATAATGAAAGTTTAAAACATTTATTCGCAATGGCAATTCTTTTCCAAACAAAAAATGCTGCACTTGACTAAAGCAATCTTTCTCAAGGGACCAGTATCGATTATAGAGAGAGTTGGCAAGTGTCCATTTTGTGAATTGCTAACGTTGAAAAATATTGTTCAGCTTGTGAAGCCAAATTTAATTTTGTGTTCGCGATTGATTTTTGGTTTTCCTGAATTTTAATCCACTCAATTGCGGAATGGAAAAGGGATTTTGTTTCGTTACTACGAGGAAATTGTTTATCATTTTTCGAGTTTCTGTTTTATTATCGATTATACTGTATATTAGAGCAGTGTTGGCCTAGTGGCAGCGTGCGACTCTCATACCTGAGGTCGATCCCCGGCTGGGCACCAATGGACTTGAACTGTGAAGGAAAGCATCGTGAGGAAACCGACTTGTCTTAGACCCAAAAAGTCGACGGCTTGTGTCAGGCACTGGGGGCTGATCTGCCTATCTTTATATATATAATTCTTCTGTGAGTGTGTATGTCACTGAACTTCTCTCAAACGACTGGACCGATTTTGATGAAATTTTTTGTGTGTGTTCAAGGGGATCTGGGAATGGTTTAGATTCACAAATCAGCCCGGCAGATGGCACTGCAGTCGGTACTTTCATACTTTGCTTAATATCCTAATCGCTTTAAATATCATGCAGGACAACGTCTGTGGGGTCCACTAGTTAGATTTAAAAATGATGAATCTGAGGCCAAGACCTAGAGGTTTTTTTTTCTGTATTAAATTTAAAAAAATACAAGACATTTTCATAATGTATGCCAAAGTGTTCATAGAACTTACGCTAATAGTCTTCGCTCCCGCTTAGAGAAGATATTATATATAATTTCATCTTATATCCTTCTTAACTTTTTATTTTTTTACAGAGACAATCAATATGCTGACGGTTAAATTAACCCTCACACTCAAAGTCCAGACTAAGCGGCCCATTGACCGTACTTGTCAAATCCAATACTTTTTTGGCATACGGAATTTATACCGAAATTCTTGACCTACCTAGTTTTTACCTAGAATTTACCCTTAGATTGGAAAAAGTCCTATCGTTGATTGTCTATTTCACAGAATTTTATTTTACTTAAACAATATTTTTCCTATAACATAGAAAAGATATTTCACCTAGAACACTTTGATTAAAAATTTAGTTGTTACTCTCTTTGTGTTCAAACTATGTTAAAAAGAAATCAAAATGGTTACTTAGGTGTATAATGTTTTTTTTAGGCCTATTCATATTGAGAAGTTATAGGGATAATTGCTATTCGAAGCTTCTGAACTCGATGTAAATACGATAAATTTTTGACGACGACTTTATAAATGTGTATACGAATAGTTCATCAATAGATATTATTAAACTTTATATAGCTTTATAAGAAGCCAAAATCAGCAAGTATAATAGGAGTATATTTTTTTACAAACACTGAAAACAACTGATTAACGTAGTATGTGTAGTAAAATTATCATTACTAACGATTTTATAATATCACCTAAGCATTGCTTCTCTGTTGCCTGTAATAAATGTATTTAAATTCGTAATTATCAGTAATGCGTGAGTACCTAAATTCAATTATAATATTTTGTCCTAAATTTAATAATTTATTAAATTATTAGAGACCTATTTTTAATTGACCAAGTTTAATTAAAATTAAAATTTTTGAGTCGTTGATGCTGCTTTAAATAAATACACAGTCTTTGCGAATGTGGTAACCATTTAACCCTTTATCGATTAAGGGTGAGTCCTACTACACTATTAAAGTAATAGCGTGTGTTAATGAGTGAGACTCAAAGAGAATTGAAACAAAAGACGACTAAATTACGCGTTTGTGATTGGTCAACAGCCACTGTAGTCCAACGCCATACGAACTGCTTTGTTTTACATTCTCACCTCCACGACATTATACAACGTGAATTATATGTTTATGGGCCTCGTATTAATTTCCATGGCTACGCTGTAATATAAATGGTGAGAATAAAGCATCTACTAAAAACATTGTAATTATCAAATAGTCCCTAATACGCTTTAAGTCGGATAATGAAATGCATTTACTTATAAGTGTTTTGGACATAAAAAGCCCTGAAGGGTGAAATCCCCAGAGCCACGAGTAGGATTTAACCCTCGTCAAAGTGTGACGTTAACCACCCCTAGAAGAAATAGGAACTTTCAATTTGTCATAGATCTTTGGACTTTTCGAGGACTCTATTTTATTTCCGGTTAAGATGCTTGGTTTATAACATTATTATTTGTCCTGGCTTGGAATGGGAGAAAACTTCACGTATCTAATGCCAAAAGGAATATAAGTAAGTTGGTCTAATTATTTTTAAATCGTTTAGGGTTGGACAAGATGCTTACTCACTTAGAATCAAATGTGATATATTCATACTTTATAAGATCATAAACTGACAAAAGCTGTATTTCATTTTGAATGGAGAATAACCAACAATAACCATAATAAAGTCGTACTTTTTAACCAATTTTTAACCTTTATGCGTTAGTGTCATACTGTATAATTAATTTTTTTTGATAAAAAGACAAATAAGTGTTTTAAATAAATAATATCAAAGTAATCGAAATCTGCTGCAAGATCACAAAGTGAAAGAAACATAATTTATACAAATTATTCGAATTTTAAAACACCCAGTTATTTATAATAATCATTTTAAAAATAAGAATGAAATATTTTAAAGAACATAATTGACCTAAATAAGTATCGTTTACTTTAAGTGCAAAAACATGAACGGAACTTCTAAATTGTGAGCAAATACGAGAGTGTAGATCAAACAAAATCCACTATTTCCCTCGCAAATTGAGAATACAACAATTTTCTACGTGTCCATACGATTTGTCGCACTGCAGCGGGTTTCCTGATATTTTTCCGCAAACACTTTATTTATTATATTTAAATTTTCTTAAACTGGTAGTAGATTTGATTTTATGGACAATTTTCACGAGAACTGTGTTACTATTTCGCGTAGTTTTTCTAGGGATTTAATATTTATTGCGCCCTTAAAACATCGTACTTAATGTAATTACAAATATAATGGCTTTTATATTTTATAATTGGTATTTAACCATATCCAAGTTGTAAGATACTGGATAAAGATACTCTTCACTTCCGTAGAGTAGTCTGGTTTTAAAATATATAATTATAAATTGTGATGAATAAACCAGTTTAATTGCCGTATTTTATTTCAATAAGCATAGTTCAAGGCGATACTACATAGTAACCGTCTCTTTTGTTACAGTGGCTTCTCAGTGGTAGCCCCAGAGGTAGCTGTACCAGGCAAGACAACAGCAGTGCTTGTCACACTACACGGCAGAGAGGGCGCCGAGTTAGATCCCCTAAATGTCACTGTCAAGTTGGAAACTCAAGACACTCATAATGACGTTAAATTACTGATGACAGCCAGTCAAATGATAACAGGTAAGATTTTTTGCTTTCCCAGTTTACAGAGGTAAGAAAGTGTCGTTGCGTTTGTGTTTCGTTAAAGCTTTAATGCTGATGGCTAATCACAAATGACTTTCAGTTTATATCCTCACCAATACGTTTAGACAAAATACTGTTGGCATTCGTGACCCGCTATCGCCATAAAGAATTGCTTATGAAGGACGTGCTTGGTGAACTTAGTGACCAGTTTACGCCCCAGAAGTTTATCATAAAGATTTGAGTTTGTGTAAAAAAAGGTTATAATGATAATAATAGAAAAGTCATACAAAACGGAATACTTATTTTCAAGTTTTGTTTATATCCTATCGATGACCTCCTTGCTTAGATCTTGCCGTATTCAGTTTCCAAAACAATACTTTCCATATAATTATGCTTTTGAAGAGTATTCGGACTTGTTCCATAAAATCTACATTTACTTCGAGTTAAACAGTTCCAAAGACTTTTTTGACTAAAAATGTTGACGATTCCCACAAAGATATGAGATTATTAAAAATATTGGTATAAAATAATTAAGATAGCAGCCATAAATTTTGTAGGAAATCTCCTGGGTCTGAGTGACAAATTTAAGGTAAATTTGTGTGTGGAATTAAAGTTTACTACCATTTTAAAAGTTTACTACCATTGAATTATGTGGCCCTTGAGCATTCTCACTTGAGACAAAATATATTGACTTAATTTTCGAGAGTTTGTGAAAGCTTTCTTTTGTTGAGATTATACACAAACAATGTATTGAATAAAATAATTACGAAGCATGACACATTTCTTGAATAAATCGTCTTGTCAAAAACGAACGTATACGTACCTAAGTTTTTAGATGTCTTTGCATTTTTATTGAGCTTTTCTCCAGCTTAGCCTAGCTTTGTCAAACCTGAGTTCGCGTTGAAAAGCTTTCTTTCTATTATTTACGACTTGGCGTGACGAAGGAAACATCGACGAAATGGAATGGAGGAATTTTTGTTTCTCCTGGAAATCGAAACCAGGAACAGGCTAGGATGCAAAATAATCACTAGGCTGTTAACAAATACGCTAAACGTGTAAGACTTTCGAGCTTCATTAATTAATATAATAGTAGTTATGAACTAGATTAAGATAATTAGACGTAATGAGTCAATTTGGATTATTATTCACCGTAATGGCACTGTATTGTGATTAGCATCACACAATACAGTACATATTGTAACATTTCAATATGTAAATGAGTTTGTGGGTTTATAGTGATTTATAGGTTAGTCAAAGTATATAACTATATCAGTTTTGTCGGATAATACTTATATGACATTTGCCAGAGTGGTTGTTGGCCAATATTACGAATTTATTGACCATATTCGTAAATGATTCGAAACGGGCCAGAAGCTCATGTTATGCTAAACCAGTGTTTTCCAACGTTTTTTGCGCCAAGCTCCACCTTAAATAAATAAATATAGCCTTTATTGACAATCTTGTAAGTTACATTTTATCTTATTTCTACTTTGTTATTAATTAAATTTAGTTAAAGTAAATGTAAATATTATCTCAATATTTCCTATTAGACACCGGTTTCTTGATCGTCTTGCTTTTCAGCATAGGCCTCCCCAAGTGTTCTTCACAAAGATCTATCTCTTGCTTTCCTCATCCATGTCGCTCCTGCCACATTTTTAATATCATCTTCCCATTTACGATGTTGTCTACCCCACCTTAGTCTTTCTAAAATTATTTTGCCCCAATGTAACCTACACAATTTTTAATATTAAATAATTGATTTGTTCACTTAAGAAACTTTAATGATAGGTTTTAGAAAGAAATCACTTGGAAGTTGTTAAACAAACACAGTAAGTAAATTTTCAAAATATATAATGTAAAGCTGAAATTCTAATTCCAAATAATTTTAAAAAATTTTGGAATGACCCCGTAACAATCAAATTGCCCCCTTGTGGGGCGCGTGATCCCCACGTTGGGAAACACTGTGTTAAACGATACCGCTGTAGTGTATGTACACTCACACTCCAGTAGGCGTAAGAGCCTTTTCATTTATTTTTATATATGGGTTAAAAAACATTTAATAACTTATCTAGCGTAATGAAAAATAATAAGCGCTTGTGAGCCTTCTGTCAGTGCCAGTGCCCATGGGCGGCACTTAACATCAGTTGAGCCTCCTGCACGTCTGCCTCTTGGAACATAAATCTAGCGTAATGAAAACAAAACAACTGCTTAATAAACTTTTCATAAATATAAGAAAAGTTTTCGGTTAATTTAAAGTTGCACTTAGAGCGTAGAGCTCCGAGACCAGTGAGACCATTTGTCTATGTCGAGATAGTGTCGCAATGTTAACGTCACTTGGTCACAGATTAAAAGGATCAATTAAAACAAAACGCCTACCTATCTCCCGTCTACTACTACTGTTAGTTACTTTTATTAAGTTTTGTTAAATAAACGAGTAATGGAAACCAAAAAAATATATTTCATCATTCGTTGACGTATAATTACATCATATATGTACTTTTCAAAGGACACAGAACTATTATATGACTAGCTGACCCGGCAAACGTTTGTTTTGCTATGTATATTATTTCTCGGAAAAAATTTTTTAGTTCCATAAAATATCTATCTTCAATAATTAAAAATAGGGGTTTATCGTAGAGGGGTGAAAATTAGGGGTTGTATGTATTTTTGTATGTTGTATCTTAAAAAAATAAAAACAAAAAAATTCTAAGAAATAAAATTTTGGGGTGGACACCTCTTATTACTTATGGATTTGAAAAATAGTAGCCGATTCTCAGACTTACTTAATATGAATATAAAATTTCATAAGAATCGGTCGAGCCGTTTCGGAGGAGTATGGGAACGAACATTGTGACACGAGAATTTTATATTTTATATATTAGATATTAAAAGTAAGTACGTCTTTAAGACGTTAATTCAAAAAGGTTTCATTTTTATCAACTGTTCCAATTGTACTATGGTTTTCAGGTCACAGTGTGGCAATATCTCCACCTCAGCTATTTTATTCAGTTCACTGTGCACTTGATAAGAACAGAATGCTTGTGTTATTCATATTTAAAACTATTTCCTTTCAGACTTTTATAAACTGAGTAAGTAACGTAGCAGGATAATATTTTTCATTAATAAGAAAAGTAAAACGCTTTTTTTTCTATAAGTGTATAAAGTGGTTCTTGTTTTTCGAGACCTTAGATAAAGACACGGCGACAATGGTGACTACAATTATAAATAAATTAGCATGGTCACGTCACATTCCTAAACTAGCTAACGTATAGACCTTTATAGGTAAATTTGTCGGATCACGGCTCCACCTTACAACTCCAATTTTTTCGACTCTTACTCTCTCTACTCTCCAAGTTCTTTACGGCTTGTAAGTACCACAAGTAAGGAGGCGCATGGCTTTGGACCCTTTAAAAAAACTGATAATACGTGTGCATTACATTAGTTTTTTTTTAATTCTAAGTGGCGTTTAGGTTAGGTTAGGTTAAATCCAAAAATTTATTACTTCTTTCATTCATTTCACAATCACGATGTTTTAATTAATATCTATGGGTAAACCCCATGGGACACCACTTTATTGCATGATACACCATTGCCGAGTGATGAAAATATGTAGAATTTTTTTTAGAGCTGTTTTGTTTTATTTATGTCCACGTCAAGGCACGGTCTAAATGACCCTTAGTTCCAGCAGGATTAAGTTCGTTGGCACTCATGTTTCACGAGATTTAATGGTACCACAATAATTTTTACAAGGCTCAAATGGGTGACTAGGGATAAGCCGAAGTTTAACGCGTCGCGTCTAGACTGGTCTATTTATATACCATTGTTTACGTCACTTCACCAAACCATTACCAACAAACAAGCCATTTGCGGCTCTTCATATCTAACAAAAGAAGTAGATATGAAAGCCCAACTCATGAACTTTAAGATCACTAGACTATGAATTGTGAAATGGCTCAAGTTTAGCGAAGGAATGTCTTTACGACTTTCAGAGTTGTATATTGTTTATAATAAACTACGAAGTTATAGCTCTTTAAACCATTTCAAATTCAACTTACTACCAGGTGAGCCCGCTGCTACGTAACCCTGAAGTTGGGAGATACATTTCTACGTCTGTTTCACTGATTGTTATCGGTCTACGGAATTTAAATGTTCTGAATTGATTAGTGGTCGGCGTTGGCCAGCCCGAGGGCTTCTATTTGAAGAATTGAACCCTCCTCAAGATTGCTATTTAAAGCAAGTCAAATCGGTGAATCTAAATTAAACTGTGAATAGCTCAAAGCTATCTAATGAAACATGAGCCGGGTCTGATGACGTAGATAAAGTCTCTGAGATAAATCTCTTCGATCACCATTCTAAATGATATCCGACCCTGATAGCTCTAGCAACTTTACACAACAAAAGTTTTCATTTGGTTCGAACTAATTTTCTTGATAAATTAAAAGGGAAGTAACTCTTTAGAATGGTTTCTAGTCCGTAGTCAGTCTGTCTGTCTAAGCTGGTGAGCAGTCGCATTTGTTCATTCACCATTAATATTTTAATACAATGCCGTATTTAAGATATGTCGCGAAGATTCAATACGATCCACCCACATGTTTTGTTTTCTTTGGCGTTGAATATAATTTTTTATTTGCTTATAAAATCACTTGGTATTATTAAATTAAATACGGATTTCAGACTCCTGTTAACGCCAAAATATAGTGAAATATAAACAAATGTATAGCGTAGTAAAGTAAAAATATTGCGTTTATATAGTAGAATAAATAAAAATCCCTACAGAATTCTGTATAAACAAGGATTAAGTGTACAAAACAAATTTTTGAGACACTATCTTAGGATGTACGGTGTGTACCCTTTTTACCCACTTGTATTCGACCTTATTTATTCTTGGTTCTGTGGGTTACAACGGGCTCAGAGTACGCCGAGAATTATCGTTTGCGATGTACTTAATAAAATTGTTACATGACAAGGACAGCAATTCAGCAGAACTACATTGCCTT